TGTCTCACCTCTGAATCAATAACATGGAATAGAAAAATTGTGACACAATATTATGACATCATGGCAATCTCACCAGGAAATAATTTAAACCGTCATTAATTTTAACACTATAATTACAAGGAAATGTTAGTCTACATTAATGTTGTTAGCCTGGTCTGACACTTGCTCATTTTACTTTGATGGATACACTTCTGTTCTCTTGGGTTGGAAGTGCATCTGCTAAATGAACGTAATGGAATGTAACTGGAAGAATAATAACCAAAAAATCAGTTCAGTTCAGTTAGAGTGGAACTCATGTTGGTTGTGGTCACCTTAACAGCAAGCCTACTATTTCATTTCCCCAGCACTTCACACTCTACAAAAAAGTGTTAAAAACCAGTGTTCCAAATCTGTGTACAAAAATCCGTTAATGTCACTCCCACAGATTCACCGTGGCAACACACCTGAGTGGCAGAGAGGTCTGGGGAGGGGGTTTCCAGGCCCTAAAGGTATTCTGATCTGTCAGTGCTGGGAAAACCGAGTGCCAGTAGAGGTCTCAGTGTCAGCTCTATCTCAGTATGGGGGGTGTGAGTGTGACTCCTACAGCAGACGCAGCCCGCTCCTTTAAGAAGGAGCCCCGGTGCTGTGTTTCACCCTGTCCTTTCCGCACCTTTCAGCAGGGGTGAGGGGGTGTGAGAGTCTCTGGAGTCACACAGCGCAGATAACCCTGTCACACGCACACTCTCTCTCTCCCTTTCTCCCTCTCCCCTTTCTCTCTCTTTTTCTTCCCCTCTCCCTCTCTCTCCCTCTCCCCCTCTCTCTCTTTTTCTCCCCCTCTCCATCTCCCTCTCTCTCTCGAAGGTCTATCCACCTGTCACTGGGAGGAGTGACACTCTTCACTCCTCACCGGCATCTCCGTGCACCTGGGAACCCAGCCAGGTGAGGAGAAACCGGTTCCGACCGGTGGGCGATACAGCATCTGCCTTCACCAAAACCAGCTCAAAGATGTGGCTCCCTAACCACATGGATTCTTTGAGTTTGGGACGTCCCTTAATCACAGACTGTGGGTCATGGTTCACAGATATATCTGAACAGCATTCATCTTTCACCATTTAGACAGCACCAAGGCAGCCCGCCTATAAAGAGGCCATTCATTTCTGACTCTGGACTGGTCTATATGAGCTGTCAGTGTGTCATCTGGCGAATCTACCCATCATACACCCCCATTTCCTGCACTTTGGGGTCTGGATTTGTAAGACTTTAGTCTAGTCTTTATCCAGCACTTTCTTCCTTTTAAGTAGTTCAGAGAGGCTCACATCATGATCAGAAGGTAACTCTGCTTGCTGTTAGCTACACGGCCGTCATGGCTAGAGCGAGAACTCCTAAGCTGGCATTTTTAGGGAACATGAAGCGTTTAAAATATCATGCTTATATTCCACCCAGTGAAGTGTCATGCTGAAGCAGCATGTGCCGGCCACATGAACAGCGTCTTTGATGTTTCAGAGCAGAAACAGATGTACATTTCCTCTGCCTTTGCAGAGACATCTCTGCTTTCTGAACGTAAATAAAGCTATTTTCCCAATGTGCCCCCTTTATGTTCCTCTCAGCGTTAAAGATAAACCGCCCGTCAGCAGTGAGTAGCTGTTCTAAAACCACACCAAGGGATCTTCCCACTCAGTGACACAGCGAGGTTATAAATACATCAGCTCCACAACATGACCAATCCCCCCTTCTCTGTATCCTTCTCTTTCTACATTTACATTCAGTCATTCTGCTGATGCTCTTTCCCAGACAAGACAAAGTAAAGGTACAGATGCACATTTGATACAGGAAACAACAGAGCACATCTGAACACAGTGCTGGAATAACTGGTGCCACACTGAATGCAATAATCTCATTCCAATTGCCAGTGGAAAATGCAGTAATACTACCCTAATTACAAGTGATATACAAAAAAGGCAAGATGTGAGCGCTCTAGTTATGTGGGCAATAGATGCTCTTCGAATAGCTACAGTATATAGGCAGATCTTCATTCATTGCAACTGCTGAGACTGTAACAGTCTCTGACCAGCACTGTTTCTGTTTTGACCCAACATCAGCTTGCTGGACCATGCATGCCCACTGACAGCTAAAAAACTTTCCCATGGATCCCATCTGAACAGTGCTATGAAGAGAATTCATACAAGCACATGCCAAGTTTTTCACCTTTGGCACCACCCAACCCGGGTGAAAGCGATTTATTGGGAAAAGTATCCCCTCAGACATTAAACACTGTGACACCACCATGAGAAGGTACTACTCTGATCACAGTGCACAGAATGCTCATAAGGAATGGCCTGCTGTAGCCGTATTGAGCTCACTCCCAGAGGGAGGGACAGAGGAGACACTCACCTGCTCCCAGCTGGGCCACCTCTACCAGGTCCGTGGGAGTCTTGGCTGCAGCGATGGCTTCTGGGAGCCGCAGGGGGAACGGCAGCACGTCCCTGCCACAACGGGGAGAGAGAGGGAGGATAGGAGAGAGGAAGAGAGAAGGTGAGCACACAACCGCCGGAGGAAAGGGAGAGAGGCAGAAGGAGTGATACACACACACCCTTCACAAGAAAGGAAAGAGGGAGACAAAAAAAAACCTCCAGAGGACAGGGAGAGAGAGTGATACACACACGACCTTGAGAGGAGGACAGGGAGAGAGGGAGACCATACACAACTTCCACAGAAATACCGGGAGAGAGGGTGACACACACACGCTCAACAGAAGTACAGGGAGAGAGCTGGGGTCTGAGGGCCACAGTGCCTTACCTGCTGATGCAGTAGAAGGCCACCAGACGGAAGAGGTCTGAAAAGCTGACCCCAGAGCCCTCCAGGGCAAAGGCTGCGAGCCAAGGCAGAAACAGAGAAATAAAATAGATAAATAAAAAGCCACTGAATCGGAATGAAAGAAATGCACAAACCTGAAACGACCTGGGCACCCAGCCCGCTGCTGCTCAGTCACCTGGCTGCATTTACAAATGATTTCCGCTAAGATACAGAGACAAGCGCCTAAGTCAGTGTAGACAGAGGCTGGGCACACTCAGACCTCTCCCACCCTTTGTGAAACCTCAGCTAGCAGGCCAGCCTCACACAGACTGACAGTGGATGGAGCTGTGTGCTCATATGAGCGGAGGGAAGGCCTGAAAAAGTGGGTTAACTCACACCAGCTGGCCTGGCTGGTAGCTGGCCAGAAATCACTCTGTGATCATCATCTGGCCACAGAATCTGAGCTCCATTATTCATGCCTTTGTTGATGACTCCCACCATGCACAAGAAAAACAAAAACCAGGGGAAAAAAAAATGGGATTCTTTAAGGCGTACTCATTCACGCATTTACTGAGCGTGCCAGAAATGGGCTCTTCCCTCACAGTGAAAGACTGTGGACGTTTCAACATGCCCCCACACTCTGGCACACAGACAGCGGGCTAAAGAAAGTCAGACTGTGTGCTAGGACAGGCCACTGCCTTCCTCCCGAGGGGAAATTCTTTTTGCTGCAGCGAAAAATGAGCGAAGCCACATTAAAAACAACAACCATAAATGGACCGGTTAGAGTTGTGGCACTCAGTGTCAGCTGAAATTTAAAGGCGTTAAAGAGCCGCAAAAAACGACCAGAGTAGCTTTCATATGGGAATGCCTGAAATACTTCCACAGTGACAACACACATTTTGATGAATACACACTGAAGCACAAACACACTGTAATAATACACACTGCGGTGAACGCGCTGCTGTGTATAGCCCCTGAGAGAATGCGCAGTGCCGTGTATACGCACTGTGATTTACACACACGTATGCACACTGTGATTACACGAGTTATGTGCTCGCTGTGGTGTGTGTGACACTGAAAACACGCGTCACGTGTGCTCACTGTCAGTAACATGCCATGCAGTCAATGCGCCCTGTGTTTGTTACGCGCTGCGGTAAGCAGGAACAGGGGCACCACAACCTGACCGAAGTCAACAATGTAGGGAAGTGAGCAGTGAGAGTCAGGGACCCCACAACAAAGGCAGACTGTCGGCTTTGGCCTCGGGCAGCTACAGGTGGGGGAGGTTAGCCACGTAAGACCGCAGCCTCGTTCAGTGAGCACAAAGGCCTGGGGCTAATGCATCCATAATGAAACCGCAGGGGGGGTAATATTACTGTCTGTCTGCGGGAAGTAAGACACACAGAGGAAGAGTTAAAAACACATACTGTACTGGCTCTCCTTGATGGGGAAGTCACTGACTGGGGTTCCAGAACTTTCCTCAAGGCGCAGGGAAATCACCTTCTTCTGCAGTTTAGACGATTTTCTCACCAGGAACATCTATAGAGAATAAGTATAAATACATTAAATACAGACTTTTCTCAACAGGTTTTCTAACAACCAACATCTGCAGTCTTTATTTCTTCCAAGAATAGCCTTTCTTTTTATGGGGGTATTCCGAGGCTGTTGTTTCAGACAGGGTGAGCAGATTACATCATGTGCATGGCCTAAACCCCATGTACCACAGATCATAACTTCAGTCACTAATGAAGGGTACAGGCCTGGAGGGGAATATTTACATGTGCTGATATCTCCAGAGCAGGGAAATTCCCTTTAAGATTAGCAGTCTACAATAACATGCGTGCAAGAGGAAACAAACTGTGTTTAAACCCTTCGAAGAATGTCATTTACCGCTCTAGTCATCCTAGTGACAGCTACATGTAGATAAACGTCATGGAAACAGTCCTGCGACCGAACCCCTCCCCCTCTGTCCACAGCCACCGCGAGGAGGAAGAGAGGAGAGAAAATCACCCTCCTCTATGAGTCTGATTTCAAAGGGGATCTCCACTTGGGACAGGAATAGCTCAATATTACAGCACACCGCTAATCAGGGCTTTGCGGATGTGACACTGCAACATGAACCAAGACGCTGCCAGGCTACCAGGAAACGAAGGTTACAGGGGCTGCAGGCTACTGAAAAAGGCATCAGACACCTCTCGAGTCAGAGGTAGCACAGTGGTACAGTAGCATGGCTTAGTGTGGCGTAGTGGTAAAGAGCAGGGCTTGTAACCACAAGGTTGCTGGTTCAAATCCCAGCTAAGGCACTGCTGTTGCACCCTTGCAAAAGGCACTTAACCCACAACTGCCTCACTAAATATCAGAGGTGGACATCCCGGCTTCAGAAAGTAAAAGTCCTACCATGGATTTGTTCTAGCCATTCACTAAACAAGGTGATTTCACTAATTAGCTCCTCTATCTGGCTGCAGAGTTGTGCTAATTAAATTCAGCTGGTGTAGTGCATGGGTGGAACAAATACGTGGCAGGACTTTTACTTTCTGAAGCCGGCTGTATAAATGGATAAAATTGTAGCATATGTAAGTCACTCAGGATAAGAGTGTCTGCTAAATGGCACTGATGATGATGGTGATGGTGATGGTGTACAGGCGCCGCAGTCGGCTGCAGCCGACGCAGTGACTGCGCAGCTGCCTCTCACCCCTGGCGGCTGCCGCAGCAGGATGCGGGCGGCCTCCTCGTCGGGCAGGGAGAGCAGCAGCCACACCGGATGCGTCTGCACCAGCCTGTCCAGCACGCTCATCCGTCTGCGCAGAGAGTCATACCCCGAGTCCCTGGCGCCGGCCGTGCGGAGGCAGGGCGCCGGCTGCAGGTACACCCTGCTCACCTCTCCCTCCAGCCTGCACACACACAGCGACAGGGAGAGTGAGGACACTCACACACACACACACACACACACACACACACACACACACACAGACACAGGGACAGGGAGAGTGAGGACATGCACACACACACACACTCACGCGCACACTCACATATACACACACAAACACACACAAACACACTCACACACACACACACACACACTCACACTCACACACACACACACACAAGCACATATTGGGTGGGGATACACAGACAAATACACAAACACACACACATACACACACACGGGGGAGGAGAGTGACACACAGACAAATACACAATCACACACACATAACGGACACACTTGCAACTTTGCAACGCAGACCCACTGAATGATGTTGGGTTTGTATTAGTCAGGACACTTAGACACTTAGGTCACTGTGTGGACAGTCCCACCACATCTGAAAATGAACCCACACAGAGATGAAAGGGCAGGACTCAGGGCTGTACCGAGAAACGCTGCCTCAAAGACCAAAACAAAGCAGTAACACACGGTGTCATTCGGGCGGAGTAAATTACACAACTCTGACCACCACACACACGCACTTCCTGGGAGAGGACCAGTCTTTTCAAATGAATTTCTACCTGGTGAAACTTCCTGTTACCTTGTGCAATAACTAACAGCACTACCCCCCCTGCTGGTAGACAGGCAGCACTGTAGAGAGAATCATTGACAGCTGTTCAAAACAGACTACAAATCTTGATTGCTCAATCTCTCATCTGTGCTCTGCGGGTGGAACATTGTGTTAATGGCATTGTAAAATGCTGTCGTTTACAGGGAACTGAAACTGATTACCAAAATAATGTTGCATGTCCCCAAATGCTCACGACATTAGCTGAACTGTGCCAAACGCAGTGGCACGCAGTGTGTATCCTGCACCCACAGACTTCCTCACCGCTCGTGACTCATCGCTTGCCTGACAGGCTCTGCTGACCAATCAGATCTGCAGCAGACAGAAGTGTGCACCCGGACTGAAATGATGTCAATCTGTTACAGGAAGGCATGTGTCCGCGTGCAGTTTCACTGCGTCATCTGGGCACCCTGATCTGTGTCACTAACAAAAACTGGCCAGGAGTTTCCATTTTCTAAGAATTTTGTCTATGTCTAATGTCTGTGAAATTAAGATTTTCATCGAGCTGTAGACTGACAACAGCGTTTATTGCATATGACAGGCGTACAATCTGCAAGGCTTTTAGAAAATCTGCACACTTACAACTACATTTTTTAATAAGCACTTTTTAAATCAGTGTTCCAAACAATTTACAGCAATTTGCAGATTTTTTTCTTCTAGTATTTGTTCTCCTTCTCTCCTAAATTTCAGAAACACACATACACACTGAGTTTAACCGGAATGAACACAGATAAGTCTGCTCCTTCCCCCTGCCTGTAGAATGTGCCTACTGGCTTCAGCAGCCTTTAGAAAAGGGTTTCAGTTTCAGAGGCGATCACAGCTGCAGCAGTGAGGGACCAGGTCCTGGCTACACGCAATGCACTCACTGAAGCTGAGAGAGAAAGAACCAGCCCTTCACTCTTACTGTGGAAAGGTGAGGCAGGACAGCTAGCAGCTGAGAGACACAACCCCACTGGCCAAAGGGTCAGCGGGAAGGGGCTGGACTTACCCCCGCAGGACCACCATGTCGGGGTCTCTGTCCAATGGCATCGCCTTCTGCACCATCTCCTGCTTCAGCTCCCCGATCTCCGAAGCAAAGGTGGTGATGAGCTGCAAAGGAACAAGCACGAAGGACAGATAGAGCCGGAGATTAGAGACCAGCACATCCAGAAGCCAGCACACGACTGGGGGGTGTAGCGTCTCTCAGACAAGACACCCATACGCGCGCGCACGCGCACACACACACACACACACACACACACACACACACACACACACACACACACACACACACACCCCATACGCCCACCCATACGCACACACAGACGCACACATACACACGCAGATGCCCATACACGCACACACAGACAGTAGGGATGGGAAACAGTTAGTCACCTTCCTGTTCTCTTAAAGCACAGCCATCAGGAGAAACTTCCCATTTATAGACAAATGACAGCTTGATGTGAAAGAAAACGAAAACACAGACACAGCAAGAAACACAAAGGCACAATGGGCACCGCGCCCCACTCAAGCAACAGACAGAGTTCCAGCAAGATGAGACAACAGACCATGGGGTCAAGAGCCCCTCTGGTACATTACATTACTGACATTTAGCAGATGCTCTTATCCAGAGTGACTTACTTTGGTTACACTTTTTTTACAATGCTATCCATTTATACTTCTGGACATTCACTGAGGCAATTACGGGTTAAGTACCTTGCCCAAGGGTACAGCAGCAGAATCAAACCGGCAACCTTTTGGTTACGGTACAGCTTAAAACTGAACTGAACTAAAATGCCCCACATTCTCTTCCAATGAAGTTGGAATACCGTTAGTCAAGAGGTTGCCTCTTCCCTTCTCCATGAGAGGGCAGCAGTGGTAAGGAGCAGGGCTCATAACCGAAATGTTGCTGATTCGATTCTCTGCTGGGGCACTGCTGGTGTACAGTTGGGCAAGGTACTTAACCCCAGAATTGCCTAAGTGAATGTCCAAGTGTAAAAATGGATAACATGTAAAAACTGTAATAAGAGTGTCTGCTAAAATGGAAATAACTGTGAGTGCAGTGAACATGCTTCTGGATGTCCAGCAGAGGGCAGTATTTTCTCATCCAATCTCTGCTGAGTGTGGCCCTGTGCTTTGCATGTGGTCTCTTTGCTTAGTAAAGCTTGACTACAAAAGGTCAAACAATGCTTTAAAACTACACACCTGTGTGTGCAAGGCAAAATATCACCATATCAGGAGCACAGAGGGAAAAGCTCACTTAGCAGGACGCTCTTATCTAGAGCCAGTTACAGTTACAAAGTGCACAAAAGTGCATCTAATAAAGTCACAGAAAAAGTCGTACAGACACAGAACACAACAGGCCACATCAGAAAATGTGTCGCTACATCCAAACATTTGTGATGGCACATCTGGAGAGACTGCCCCCAAGTTCATTTTGGAGATATTTACACTCTTAAGTTACTAACAGTTATTACAGGCAAAGACTATGGAAAAGCCCTGAGAATAAGTACTTTTAATGGTACTCTGGTTTTAAGTTCTGAAAGTGAAGAAGCCTTAGAGGCCTGTAGTGACTGATACATTTATAATACAGGATCCAGGCAGGTGTAGATACTGTTACTGAAGGCAATACTTAGCCTCTGGAAGAGCTGAGGTTTATCTAATAAAATATTAATTCAAAATAGCCATTAAGAAAAGGGATAATGGGAAAAGAACAAACCCCTTTACTTGGCCATCGGGTGATTCTTCTGCTTAGACTGAAGCCCCTCCCCACTTCTTTTTTTAATCCAGCACGTTCCATTCATCTTCTGACAGCATTTATACACTAATATTTGTCTAGTCAGCAAGTGCAATTACACACCAGCCCTTATCCCCCCCAACTGCAGGCCACTGCCAAGAAAAGCAGTCCAAGTTAAATGCATGTAAACCAGACGGCCAGAAAAGCAGATCTTTCTCACAATGCCCCTCTTAAATCATTTCACACTGACCTCACTTAACACACAGTGGCCCAAGCCAATTACAGGGAAAAAACAGTGAGCACACACACTGACAGAAGTACCGAAAACCATCAGCTCTGACTGGTTAAACTTTAAATGAGCCAGACGAAAGTTGCACTAAGCCCTGTTGTTCTTATCTTAAATATCCTGAACGCCACATACCCTGGTACGTCTGCCTTGTGTGTCTCGTGATATTAACGCTCAAAGCGAAGCCTTTGCAGGTTGTGCAATGCCTTTCACAACGCTACTGCACCATGGCAGAGAGGACAGATTGGTGGGGGGTGGGTGCAGTGTTTAGACAACAAGCTGGAATTTGCTCTTCTTAATTTTCCAAGAATGCAGCTCTCACAAACCCAGAGAAGCCGTTGGAGGTGGAAGATCTGGTACCCCGAATGAGGATACAGTGTGATGCAACAGCCCTATGCAAACTAGCTCTCTTAGAGAGAGAGAGAGAGAGAGACAGAGAGAGAGACAGAGTGGGATGAAGACGTCAGAGGGAAAATGAAAGGAAATTCAGACCCTGGGCTATGAAGGGGTCCGCGGAACGTTCCGGGCAGCCATCCTCACTTTAGAATTCTGACGGCCAATAAGCACACACTCTTTCCCTGTAATGATGTTCCTTACAAAGGCATTTATAAGGAAAGTCTGATGCTGAGGGTCGAAGTTACACAGCAAAGAACTGGCACATCAAAACAAGGCTGCTTCAGGAGACTCGGACACAGGCAGTTCCGGAAAGTTCTGTCACCGAAACTGAGGATTAATAAGCGCAGAGGTA